AATGATTTGTGAATGTTTATAATAATGTCAATATTTATTGGACTGTCCATTCTGTTTGTACTTAATATTAATTAAATTTTAGAGACTTAAAACAAACCATACAGTACATAGAGTACTGCACAATGGATGAAGGAAATGATCCAGTGAATGGAGAGAAGAGCAAGTGCAAGAACTGTACTTGTACTTGCACTGATCGCTACTTGAGGGAGTTCCTTGAAGATAACACAATAGCTGGCATCAGTCACGTCTTTAAAGGTCAGTCTAAAGTGAGGAGGTCGTTTTGGGCTCTGATCTTCATTGCTGCCATCATTAGCTGCATAGCTCTCATCAGTCTAAGCATACAGATATTCCTAAACAAACCAACAGCTTCTACCATTAACGTCATCACTCTTAATGGTGTTCCATTCCCAAGTGTGACCATTTGCAATATCAACTTTGAGAAGAATGAGGCTCTTCCGTTGCTCAGTCGTACGTACAACCTCATGAACCAGCTGTTCAATGCGGACGAGAGCTTTCACTCCAACAGCATGAATGCTTCCTCAGTCATTTCAAACTGTAGGAACACAGTCCCCAGGAATAACAGTGACGCAACCTTTGAAGCAACAATATGGAATATACAAAGACCAGCTCGATCTAAGAGAAGGCTCATACATTACTGTGGGTTTGTGACTGGCGTTAATAGCAACGTCTCCAATTGTAAGAGCCTTTTCCAGCCAGTCCTGACCCCAGCTGGAATATGCTTCAATTACAATGGCAGCAGTAACACTATTCACAGTACTGGGACTAGATATGGCATGAAGCTTGTCCTAAATATAGAGCAGGACCTCAGACCCTCGTACAATGGTAAAGCAGGAGTTATACTTTCAGTCCATGATGGGAAAGATGTGGCTAGACCGAATGTCAATGGTATCAACGTAGCACCAGGTCAAGCAATCGATGTTGGAGTCAACCTAAAAGAATACATTGACGAGACGAAAGAAGCAAATTGCACTGCAGGACAAGACCTTGTCTTCTTTGAGGATTATGACTACTCTCAGTACGCCTGTGCACAAGATGCACTCATTAAACAAATAGCAAAGCCTAATGTATGCAACTGCACTCTACTACCAAGGAGGCCATCGAATGGAGAGTATGACCATACTCCTAACTGTACCTTCCCCACCTCATGCTGCTTACTGAATGAGTACAAGACCATCAATACAGAGGAGCAATGCCCACTGCCCTGTAGATACAGATACTATGACTACACCACAAGCTATGCTAGCTATCCTAACTCATTCATATTAGAAGATTTAATGAGAGATGAGAATGTCACTGAAGACTATTTAAGAAAGAATTACCTATCAATTAACATATATATCAATGATTTACGATACAGCGTGGTCACTACTTCATACACGTTTGGTGTTGCAGGTCTGCTGGGAGATATAGGAGGACAATTGGGTCTGTTCATTGGAGTAAGCATAATCACATTCTTTGAAGTTTTGATTTTATGTCTTGACGAGTTAAAGAGGATCTGCTGTCCTGATTTCGTTATAAATAAGTGCAAGAACATGAAGAAGAAAGGAGAAAGCTCGGACATAGTTGCTGGAGAGAGAGAGACAAGAAGACAGATCCAGAGGAAGGCATGGTCTAATGACAGTCTATAAAACAACACCAACATTTAATAATATTAATAATAATAATAATAATAATAATAATAATAATAAGTATGATGAATATTAGGGCATAACTAAGTATTTGAATATAATACACATTTTGATTATTACTATTACTATAATAATAATAATAATAATAATTATTATTATTATTATCATTTACACATCAGTTTCTTTTACGAGTCTTTTCCCATCATTAGCTAGTACAGTCCTGGTCTTATATAGCTCAGGGTTTTGTGGAGGGACACTAGCTGTTGCTTGTGGTGTAGTTCTTTTGTGATATGAGCGCATTGGCTGTCTTCCACAACTGAACTGAGCTATATCAACCAACGCCTTTAAAAATCATTATTATCATTATTTTTTATTTTATTTTAATGATTACTTTAAATGTCCTTGGCTCATGCACTGCAATCTCAGACAAAACTTTTCTATTTAACTGAATGCTACTCTGCAAGAAATAATTCCAACTTATCAATATCAAGAATGGGCGTGACTTACTTTTGCAAGTCCGTTCATAAGATAATTATAAGGCATGCCGTGCTCACGAGATCCTAAATTAATTCTTTGAATCCACATCTATGAAGAAAATAATAACAACTAATATATAATAATATAGATAGTAATTTTTTATAGTTAGCTAACTATCCACTGTTTGTAATCCAAGTAATATTGTACTTTAACTACTTTTATTATTATTGTTATTATCATTATTATTATTTATTTCTTTACAGATCTCATGTCCCTTTTCTTCTGCTTCCTTCCCTTGTAAGCATGTTGAAGTGCTTTCTGAGCAGCTCTTACAGCAAGGGAGTAGCAATTATTAGCCCTGCCACGGAATCCCTAAACACAGGCTTAAATTAAAATATATAAATATTTAATCCAGTACCTTTGTGATGGCAAATACTTTCGCTCTTTTCGTTCCTCTATTGGGGTAACCTTCTCGCACCATTTTGTTGCTTACACGTGTGAATGGGCGCGGTTAATTCGGATCACGTGATTACATGTAAACTGTACCCAGCCACGCCCAGTCCTTGCTGCAAATATCTAGAGAGAGCAAAGAAAGAGAAGGGAACATGGCAAGCCCTCATGCTAGCTCCTTCATGTGTCTCCCGTTTGACTCCATGAGAGAAGTCAGCGATGCTTACATAACCTACTACGGGGTTTGTCTTGGGAGCGGCTGCATAGGAACATTAGGATCAATGCTGTTTCTTTACCAAGTCTTGCGTGGAGCTGCAGCAAAGAGCACCAGCAAGACACAGAAAAACATATTAATTAATCTGGCTTTTGCTGACCTACTAGCTGATATAGGTAAGAAAAGAGAGGGGGAGCAACTGAACCTCTTGTTACATGATACTTCAAATGATCCAGCTAAAGTTTACTTTCATTATCACTATACTGCATTGTAATACTATACTATAGCCAGTAGATTTACTGTATCTATATTCATGTTGTTGTAGTACTACTGGTATATTGGCATTACCGGTACTATCTCTAGTGTGTGTGTAGTGTTTGATTCATTAACCAGCAACAGATTGTACTACTCTATAGCAAATAATGACACAGTACAAGTTACCATTGAATAGCTAGACCTACACACAATCAGCTGCAGGAGCATCATTGTAAAAGTGCATGCACCACTTCTCTGCTATTGTTATGATGCATTTTCTCATTTTCTTCAGTTTCCTTGCTATGATGCATGTACATTAAATATATGTATATACATTGATCTGCAGGAGTTATTGGAAGATCACTGTATTATATGGTTTATTGGAGAGATCACGACTTAACCAAAATTGATTTACGGGATAGACTACCTCAAGCAATAACTGGAGCATTCACTGAAGTATGAATATGTACACAGACACATCTTAATCCATCACATAAAGCTATGCATCTACCAATTGGGAGGATTCTGTTTGTAATGTATCGTATTTTGTTTTTGATAGTCCTGGGTTGTATTTTGGTATCTTGCTTCATACTTCTGGACATTCTTCTTTGCTGTTGATATATATACTGCAAAACACAAGGGAAGATGGTAACAGCAACTTCTCACCACTCAATATTGAGTTCTTTTAATCATAGGAGGTTATGGTGCTCGCATATGGTAACTTGGTTATACTGCAGTTTACTGGCAGCTACTGGTACGCTCGCATTGTGGGCCTGTGCCCCGCCACTAGAGTGAGTATATATCACATGATAGTCACATGACACTAAACTTAATCCCTTGCAGGTGTGCTGTAGACAAGTACTGTATAGTCGGGCATTTTCTCTGCACTTTTGGACCCATTTTAATATTTTTAGTTTCACTGCCTGTTTTCTACTTCTCAATACTTAAGAAAAGTATAGGAGCTTATTTCAAATGCTGTAGTCTATTAGTTATAATTTTTCCTAATAGTTATAGATGAATTTAAAGATGATGGTCATGCACTAGAAGTGAGGGAGAGAGAAAAGAAACAAGCAAAGAAGAAAATATTATTATTCATAATCGTCTTTTACTTCTGGTTAGTATAGCAAGACAGTTAAAACTTGCATGAAATTATAATCTCTATTTCTCTCCTTTAGTTGGCTAGTTAATGTTGTTGATGGATTTATTCTAGTCATTTATCATTTGGTTGAAAAAGGAGCTCTGGCTCCTTCAGTTAGGCAGACATTTCTATACAAGCCAGCATACATATACACTGTATGGATAATAGAGGTGAACCCAACAGACACAATAATAATAACAACTATTGTGCATGCTCACTTTAAAATTAAATTCAAATGTTTTTCTTTGAAAAAATTATTCCTTATATCTGCCAAATTTAAACTTGTTCACAGCCAAAGATACTTGCTGTTTGCCAAAATTAATAAAAATACTTCCTAACCTCTCTCTTTCTCCTCCTCCTCCTTTTAGGCAGCAGTGAATCCTCTCCAAGGATTACTAAATGCAATAGCTTACGGCAATGCTTGTCAAAGTGTTCATGAGTGCTACGTACAAGTTAAAGCGAAACTGACTGCCAGTTTAAGTCACCAAGCCAGTTTCAGCGGTGAACATATTGAAGTTGACTTCAGAGAAGGACGAGGAAGTGTCTGGACCACTCAGAGAAAAAGAGTTTTAAGCTGCTGACATGTTTTTTTAAATTGTACATTCATTTCGTTGCATATTAAGTACATGTTGCATTGTATGGTCACAATCTCTTAACATGTTATTATTATCATCATCGAGAAATATTTATTATTATTAATTGGAAACAGGCATGTTAAAATCATACACAATACATGTACATGTACTGTATGCTAGTGCTGCTATAGTTGGGTGTGGTCCATTAATTAATCCTCGTCGCTATCAGGTGCAATAACGCAAACTTTTTTCCTTCGTCCTTTCCTTGAAGATTTTTTAGTCGTGTCTTTTTTCAAACTGGTCAGACCGGTTCTACGAGCTGATGAGAGGGTGGGGCCAGTGATAGAGTCCTCCAGAGGGTTATAGGCGGAGGGAGTCAGCAATGAAACTCGTCCTGCCCTTTTAGCCGTACTTCCGGGAACGCCGGCTAATTAATATTCATAGTCAATTAATTAATATTAATTAATAACATACCTTCTTTGTTGAGTGCTGATGGAGTCTCGGGGGGGATATTTTCATCAGTCTCCGATCCTTTGTGATGAATGTCAGCTAATTTGGTCTCAAACTCTTCATACATAGGCTAAAAATAATGACACCATAATTTACACAACGTATTTCATTATTAAAATATTACTTTCTTGTCTCCTTTTGCCAGCTTCTTTCCCTTACTAACAGCAGTCAGTAAACTATTGTATACTTCAGTGTCACTCAGGAGTCCTTGGTAGCAGGGAAGGTTTTCATGAAGTTTTCTAAGACCTCTTTCGTTGACGTTCAGCTGCGACAAGCAAAAGGCAAGATCCCTGCTCTGCTGCTCCGTCCTGGAAAAAACAAAATGGAGGACAGAGTGAGGGAAAGAGAGGAGAAACGAGGTACCTTGTTGCTCTAAACCTGTGACAGAGTTTCTCCACCAAACCTTCGCTCTGTCTCTCCTTCTTAACAAAACTTAACAAATACCTAAAAAATAATAATAGTAGTAGTAGTAATAATAATAATGACTAACTTCATAATATTTCTAAAAGTATCTGGAGTTACATTGCTGGCATTAACAGGATCAGACAAATGACTAATGATGTCAGGGATTATGTTGTACAGAGCATTTCCCTATAAGGAAAAAATGCATTAAATAGTAGTCAGTAATAGTTTCAATTATTATATTGTATACATGTATAATAGCGTACTCTTAAAAATCAAATTAATAATTTTAAATAAAAAGATAGCCCTCACTCACCTTTTGCGATAGCTCATGAAAGAACAGTTTCGTCCGATCAATAATTCTAGTCTCAGAATCTTCAAGACACAGCGCCATCTCGCTGATCTGACCTTTGACCTTTACCATGTCGTTAAGAATGAGGTGGGTCAGGACTACCACACTGTTGAGACGAACCTCATAAACAGGATCCCTTAACCTGTCAAACAAGTTAAGAGGTGTACATCAATACATGTATGTACATGTATCAATAAATGTAATAAAAATTTGGGGTGATTTCGGGACCAATTTTCGGAAAAAACCCATGGGCTATAGCCTTGGGTATTTTTCAAAATTTTGACATTTTCTTAAAATGGCTGTAACTTGAAAAACTGAAGTCGGAATCAGCTCAAACTTTCTACATAGCATAAGGACATCAATATATGTATTATTTATAAACCTTGAATAAAGATGAGGAGTCCATGGTTCAATCAAGTTAGGATATCTAATGGTCATATCTCCGAGTGATATTATTATGTTGGATCTGACGACAGGATCTGGTGAATTCTCCAACAAACTAAACAGTAATCTTAAATATTTATCACAGAGCCTTGAACTGGAGTAGAAAAGAGAGATACAGTAAGTTATTTAAAATGTACTAAAATACAATTAATAAACTGAAAACAAAACAAAAGTATCGGCAAAAACCCATTAGTTCCATAGTCACGAAATCCGTAACAAGCAAAAACCCATTAGTTCCATTGTCACGAAATCCGTGACAAGTAAAAACCCATTAGTTCCATTGTCACGAAATCCGTGACAAGTAAAAACTCATTAATTCTATTAAAACCCATTATTATTTAAATAATTATTATTAATAAAATACAAATAGGAGTGGTCTGGTGCTACCTGAGTAACATGAACTTGGAAAGTGATAAAGTTGCTGAAGATTGTAGCTCACGTGATGCGTACACTCCTGGTTTAGTTACCACGGTAACCAATAGTGGGAGGAGTGACCCGAGTAAGCCACTCCCACACACTTCAGTGTCACAAACTTTCTTGAATAATTCCGACTCTACATCATCTTCAGTAGCACCAGAAAGACCAATGTCATCATTATCATCCTACAATGTACATGTATATGTATGAGGAAATGTAATATAATTATAGAAAATTCTCTACTTTTCATTTTTGGCTAAATTTGGCCTGAGACCATGTACTATAGTACAGGGACTTTTACCCGATTTTGGAGTAACTTTAAAAATTCATAAAAAATCCAATTTTGATCGGAATCAGCTCAAACTTTCTACACAACATAAGAACATGTATATGTATCAGGGAATGTTATAAAAATTGAGAATTCTCTACTTTTCATTTTTGGCTAAATTTGGCCTGAGACCATGTACTATAGTACAGGGACTTTTACCCGATTTTGGAGTAACTTTAAAAATTCATAAAAAATCCAATTTTGATCGGAATCAGCTCAAACTTTCTACACAACATAAGAACATGTATATGTATCAGGGAATGTTATAAAAATTGAGAATTCTCTACTTTTCATTTTTTGCTAAATTTAGCCCGAGACCATGTACTATAGTACAGGGAATTTTACCCGATTTTGGAGTAACTTTAAAAATTTGTAAAAAATTCAATTTTGATCGGAATCAGCTCAAACTTTCTACACAACATAAGAACATGTATATGTATCAGGAAATCTTATAAAAATTGAGAATTCTCTACTTTTCATTTTTGGCTAAATTTGGCCTGAGACCATGTACTATAGTACAGGGACTTTTACCCGATTTTGGAGTAACTTTAAAAATTCGTAAAAAATCCAATTTTGATCGGAATCAGCTCAAACTTTCTACACAACATAAGAACATGTATATGCATCAGGGAATGTCAAAAAATTGAGAATTCTCTACTTTTCATTTTTGGCAAAATTTGGCCTGAGACCATGTACTATAGTACAGGGACTTTTACCCGATTTTGGAGTAACTTTAAAAATTCGTAAAAAATCCAATTTTGATCGGAATCAGCTCAAACTTTCTACACAACATAAGAACATGTATATGTATCAGGAAATGTTATAACAGTCTGTGGTACTTACCTCCTTTACTTCATTATCTTCTTTAGTTTTTGCTCTTTTCTTGTCAGTTCTTCTTCTCTTCCTTTCCTTGCTTACACTCACCTCCAAGTGAATCAGGAACTGCTTCGCCGTTTGACCGAGAACATAAAAGAACCTCGACAGAGCAAGAGATGAAATAGACGACGGAATAACAAATCCTCCTACACTATCCTCATCAATAGATTCAGTGGGTGTGGTCTTGGAACAAGCCCCGCCCCCAAACAACCTAGAGGCCATTCCTTTAATGATTCGTCCCATGATAAGGTCGGGTCCATCAGCCAGCGCATAAATCAAAATGATCGCCTGCTCGGCTAGTGGGCTCCAGTGGTAGGTGGAGTGAGACTCAAACGTTGCCAGTAGCAACTCCGATATCTTGACAAATATCTCGTGTGTGGGCAGATACCTGAGACCATGCCCACACCCACTTAATTTCTGCAAGGCAATGCAGGACCACTTAGCCTTGATAAGATTGTCTATTTTCAAACCATACTCAAGTAATAGCAACACATTGGCCTGAATACTCTCTCTCTCTGTCTCTCCCATCATCGTCAGCAGTATGAGGGCGTTGAGAGAATTGGCGGGTGAAGAACCGGGAAAAGAACCAGAGAACACATCCCACAGTATACCCAAAACTGGCTTGGGAATGTGACCGGCTTTTATTAGCAGATTAATTAATTGCTGTAGTGAGGAGAGGTCCCCAAGGGTGAGAGTGGGTGTGTCAAGCAGAGCGATGAGGTTACTGGCTATGTAAGAGCTGGAGCTGCCAGGAGGACAGGAATCAGGCGGAGTCAGGTAGAGCCTTACATAAACACTTATCAGGAGATCTTTGATTGACTGCTCCAAGGACCAGGACAGGACCAGGGACTTCTTTATGTACTGCTGTGAGTCGGGTAGCTCAAACTGAACGGCAGCTGCTAAGAACTGAAGCGATTCTGATACGTCAGTATTGAGTTTAGATCCTAACAGCTGAGCTGATACTGGAAGACATTTTGATATTTCTTCCACGAAATCAAGAGCGTCCTATACAAAGACATATAAAAGCGATAACAATACATGTTAATACACAATATAAAGTGTATGTAATATAAGATGAATACCATTTTGATAACAATATACTAACCCTGTGATATTGAACAACAGCCATTTGCTTAGCAACTTCTACTTTATGAGACTCAACTTCAGCGGAATCAGCCTCATCTCCATTTTCTATGTCTTCTTTTCCATCTTCTTTTCCATCTTCTCCACTCTCTCCTTCTCTCTCTCCTCCTTCCATTTCTCCTTCTCTTTCTCTGTTCAGATATTTTGATGGCAGCATTCCTTTCAATTTATCTTCTTCTCCGCTCAAATCTTTTTTAAATCTACCAATACTCAGCTACAGAAAAATTAATAATAATAATAATAATAAGCTCCTCCCCTTCTTACATTAGGACCGTAAGGATTATGAGTAATGAATATCGTTAACAGCTGGAGTGAGTTCTTCCTCACTATGCTGCTCTTGTCCTTCACTCTGCCTCTCACGAGGGCAAGCAATCCTTTCTGATGAGTGAGAGGTACGGCGCCATTTTGAAAAAGTTCTTGCCAAATTTGAAGGCACTTGCTTCTCACGAAAGCGTTGACGTCATGAATGTGATCAGTGAGTCTCTCAAGCAAAAGGTTACGAGTGTTGCGTGATTCCATGCTGATTTCTGATCCGGTTAGCGAAGATACTATGATCTCACCAAAGGCCGTTAACACAGCATTTCGCATGATATATGACTATAGAATAGATATTAATAATTAAATATAATAATATTTTGTTGAATTCAATGGATACCCACTTACCTCTCCTTCAAGATGGAGTAACAACGGTTCAATAGAGGGAAGCATGTCAGCTGCTACCAGACCAGACAACTCGACCAAAAATGAAGAATAGTTTTTAGTACCGCTGGAATCAATACTCATGTCTTGTGGATCAATATCAGTGATCAACCTATTGATATATGATCAATATATCACTGATACAATCAACATATCACACTGATACAATCAGTAGTATCAATACTTACTTTATGATATCAGTGACTAGTGAGTGAATGTCATATTCATCAATGATTAGTTTTATCACTCCGCTCACCGCTGACACACAATGATCAGTCGCCTGCACCAACTGAACCAGTTTCAAGCTGACGTCTGTAATGATGGTAAAACCAGTCAAACGGGTTTTGTAAACTCACTTTGTTTCTGATTGTATTTCTTAGCAATGAGACCCAGTAGCGAGCCGATAGGTCCCCTGAGGTCCTTCACTCTACAGACACTAGGGTTCTCAAGCATTTTACAACACACGCCCACTACAAGACTAAGAGGTGTGGTCAGTGGGTGTGGTCAATGATTAAATTACTTTGTAATATCCTCAAGCATTTCTGGGGCGGGTGGGTCCCAAAATTGCGTTAAATCTTGATCAAGGAATTGGGTTAGAGTGACAAGAACTCTTTCCCTCTCTCCCTCCCACATTAGGCCACACCTATCATCATTAGCTGATGACTTCTTAGTCTTCCTGTTCTATAAATAGAATATGTTACTATAAATAGAATATGGTGCTATAAATAGAACCGTCATACCTTTGTAATCGTCATTGTCTCCTTATTAATAACCAGTGACTCAAACTCATCAATGAACTGACACACAATGTACACCAGCATCTGTAGGAGGGTCAAAGGTCAGAGGTCAAAGGTCACCACTGTACCTTAATAATTGATCTCTGCATCGGTTTATCGACTGTTTCTATGGAAACCACATTGACGGCTATACGACATGCATCAACCAAAGCTACATGTATCAGAAAATATAATAATAATAATAATAATGATGATAATAATAATAATAATAATAATAATAACAATGATGATGATGATAATGTTACCTTCAATGACAATGTTCCAGTAATGTTCTCGGACAGTTTGAGCGATTGAGCTAAAATGACTAAAAGAAAGAGTAGAGGGTACATTAAGAGCATGTCAGGAAGGACTCACTGCAAGACATTGTAGAGTGTATCAAAGGACTCAGTAATGGCACTGACACCTCCTTCAGCAAACAAGGACTGACATTCTAAGAGAGAGGAAGAGAGAGAGAATTACAAAGTATTTCATTGCATATACCAATTTGAACACACCATCAATCCTGCTCGTTAATTCTTGCGAGGTCAGTAAGTCTCTAACTGTATAGCCATCACCTCTACCTCCATCTTTGCTCGGTAAAAGCTCGTCTCTACTCAATGGAATGCAGAACTCCATGTTCGCAGTGGGCGTGGTTAGAACTTTACCGCCAAAATGAATTAATTAGGCAATACCTACTTAATATTCATTGATTAATGGTAACAACTTAACATTAAAACAATAATAATAATAATTATTATTAAAATCAATAGAATGAGCGTAAAAACAACAGCATAAGTGATCATGTGAGAGTCACGTGACAAAGCGTCAAACGTAATGGAGTCGGACACGAGAAGTGCTTATCAACAAGTTGCCGTCAAAAAACTCAGTCTCTATGACAACATTACCACTAAAAGAGAGAGAAAGAAAGAGGAGGGAGGGGGGTGGAGGAGAGAGACAGACAGAGAGAGAGGAAGAGAGATAATTTGATAATTGCTCTACAGTAGAGTAACTAAACAGAGTAAACATGTCACTATCACAACACATTAATTAAAGTGAGTGTGCCATTATCAAACCAAAGAGAAAGAGGGAGAGAGAGAGAGAGGAAGAGAAGAGGTTAAACTCAAAAAATGGAGACAGTCTTAACCTCAGTAGTGAAGCAGGTATCATCTGGGACTCTGGAGCTGCTTCAATTATTGACTGCCAAGTATTAGTGGACGAGGGGATAACAAACCCGAATTCAAAACTCCATTCTGTTTGAATGGGTGTGATCATAAACAAGAAAGACAGTTATTTCACCTTCTATTAGCTTGTCTTTGAAGTATATGTTTTGCTGTAGTCTGAGATTAGTTAGTTCTTGCTCAGAGGAGAAGTTAATCTCCCGAGACACTTGACTGCATTTTAATATCTTTTTAGGAACCCGAGCTACAGAAAGAGACTTAGATATTGTGACATTTTCTGTACAAACCTTCATGTTCCACACCTGGTACTGATCTATAAAGCAATGCTGATAATCTATTGTCTCTTCAAATGTAAATACTTACAAGTTGTCGTAGCTTTGCCACATAATTTTGCCATTTTCAGCATCTCTGAGATTCATCCAGTTCCTTAAAACAAAGAATAAACATACACAAACGCTCCTACCAAGTCTCTTCTCTCTTAATACTCACAATTTAAAGCCATCAAGGATTTTTTGTATCCTTCCACCGGATGACAACTCCGCCATTTTGAATGGGCGTGCTGATATGGGAGGGGTCAAAACAAATCTAGCCACACCTATAAAATGGCGTCCATGAGG